GTTCCAGTGGGTCAGGAAAGCATGAGTGTACACCACTCATGTCCTCAACCACAAGCAAAGTCAACACGTGCTTGACCACGCCTGCCTATCCCACCCTTAGAGCCCTTCTCCCCTATGAAACAGCATGTCCACCAGTGAAGGAGGGCCATTTTCAGCTCCCACATGACAAGATCAGTGAAGAGCCACTCGGCACACAGTCTCAGACCACCACTTGAACAACAACCCTTACAAATATATTTTTCCACTGCGGAAGAGAATTTCACTTTGGGATCATTCTATAAATTTGGAATTTGATTTTAAAATTAGGAACATACAAAATCTTTTCAGACTACTTAACACAAGTGAAAATTTTACTACTCCTTTGTCAGAGATGAGAAACTTGTACTTCAGTAAAACAAATTTATTTCTACTTTATCAGCATTTAGTAAACAGGCATAAAAATCACAACTCAGAAAAATGTACATATATTCTAAAATTTCTGTGAGTTTGCACAGAATCCTGGTCTAGCTTTGATCCTCTCTCCCCTCCCTTGGTCACTCCAGTGTTCGTTTTGTGGACTGCCTGGTGCTCAGTCCCTTGGAGTCAGGGCTCTGTGCTAATCGTTCCTTGCCTCACTCATGATGCCTGGTTTGTGGCAGGTGCTCAACACATATTTTCAGAGTAAAATCTGACAGTAGCGCTGTTGCTGACCACCACCAACAACCATCCTGAATGTGCTAATGAGAGGTCACCAGCACGGAAGAGCCACCTACAGGCATTTCCAGGTGGACAGTGTGGTCCTGGGTCAGGGAGTAGCAGAGTTGCAGGGAGAAGCTTTCTAGGGCTGGCAGGAAGACCATCTCTGGCTGTGCCTCCCTGTTTCTAAATACACCTATATGGTTTTCAGAATATAAACAGTATGGGCAGCTTTCCCATTTTGAAACCATTCCATAAATATGGGACTGTTAACTATCATTACACAACACAGTGTAAAGTTATCCATCTTGACCAGAACCACACAGAACGTGCATTTTTGCAAGTTCTAAAATAATAGCATATTGTCAACACCAAGTGCTTCAAGCTGATCACAGAAAGGGAAGGCGGACGCAGGTGGGAAAGCAGAGCGCGATGGCAGGGCAAGAGAGGGCGGGAGAAATGATGGCCGCATTTTATAAAACAGGGCAACGGGAAGCATCATCTCTGGTTGGTAAAACGTGGTTGAGAGTTTTTTACTTTGTTTTATCTTGTGTTAGTGAATTATATATAACTGTGGGTTCATTCTAACAAAGTTACGCATGCATGGAACTTGATTCACTCCGTTTCAGTCCCAAGAGCCCCTTTCCTCCCCTCCCCTCCTCCCTCTTCATATCTCTCCTTCCTCCACTGACCTTCCTCTCACCCCACGGTCGGCTTATTTCTCACTGGTGTTCTGCGTACACATCATATGGACGCACCGAGGTGTGCTCAGATCCGCAGGCAGCACGACTTTGTGAAACCCGCTCTGCATTTCCCCCCTTTCCTGGCCCTCCTCACTCTCTCCCCTTCTTCTCCACTGAGCTTCCCTGATCTTCACGATATCCCATCCCCACTCCCCTTATTTTGCTCAAACTTCCACAAATAAGAGGGAGCATCCTACCCTTGATTTTCCCTTCTCTCTCACCCTGCACAAAAGTCAGATCAAAGTGAATCAAAGACTTTGAATTTAGACCATGAATGTTGCAACAGAGGGTCAGCTCTTGTTGGTATTGGTGCAGGCACCAACTTCCTTAACAAGACCCTAAATTCAAGAAATAAAACCAAGAAGCAACAAGTGGGGTGCCATTAAATTAAAAAGCTTTGGCACAGCAAAGGAGGAATTTATACTGTGAAGAGAGAGCCTGCAGAATGGGAGAAGATCTTTGCCAGCTACTCTTCTGACAAGGGATTAATATCCAGAATATATAAAGAACTAAAAAAACTCAATGCTAAAAAATATCAATAAATGGGAAAAGAACTAAACAGACATTTCTCAAAAGAAGAAACACAAATGGCCAATAAATATATGAAAAATGTACAGCATCTCTAGCAATTAGGGAAATATTTGCAAATCAAAACTACACTAAGATGTTATCTCACTCTACTCAGAATGGCAATTATCAACAACATGAATAATAAAAGCTGGCAGGGATGTGGGGGGAAAGGCACACTAATACATTGTTAGTGAGACTGTAAATGAGTATAACCACTATGAAAATCAGAATGGAGATTCCTAAAAAAAATAAAATGAATTCATATGACCCAGCTAACCCACTCCTGGGTATATATCCAAAAGAACCCGAGTCAGCTACTATAGTGACCCAGGCGTATGAACGATGACAGCAGTGTAATTCACAACAGGTTATGGAACCAACCCTGATGCCCATCAACAGATGAATGGATGAAGAAGATGGGCATATATACACAAGGCATTTACTCAGCAATACAGAAGAATGGAATGATGGCATTTGCTGGTAAGTGGGTGGATGGAACTGAAGAACATCATGCTAAGTGAAATAAGTATCTGTTTTTGAAGTTCCAAAGGCAACAGGAAGGAGAAAAAGTAAAAGTCATATGTATACTCCACAGAGGGGTGACGGAGATCAGGAGGAGCCTCCGTGGAGAAGCAGGAGGAGCTGTCCCTGAGGATAGAGTTTCAGCCCTGGTCTTGAGAAAGTGATGGTACACTGTTTAGGGATTTGGAGGGAAATCCCCATTGAAGATCTGGACACAGAATATTTTAAATGTTTTGCCTCAGGTACAAATCTAGATGAGGACTTTCATGGGGCAAAGAGATTGTAGGTTTTTATTAGGAACTTCAGCATCCTTTAGTTTAGTTCAACTGTGTATACCTATCACTTTGAAAGAAGCACATTTTTAAGTGAGTAACAAAAATGTCTAACTGATGAATTTGTTATAAGATGCAATGATCTGATGCATAAAAGAACTAACAGTCTGACTTACAGGAAGCATGCATAAATGGTGACTTTTTTTTTTTTAAAGTCACCATCAGGGTTGAAAGACTTAGGCACTCTAAATATGATCCTGCAAAGATTATATCATGTTTTGTGAAAATATGATACATGAGAAGACCTCATGTCTTGTGAGAAATGAGTGCAGATTTTCCATTGTAGTGCAGATTTTCCATGTACACTATTTGGTTTTTTTGTTCTTGTTTTGTAAAAATCGTTATTTTCTACTATGAGCTTCAATCTTGGATCACACATAAGAATTTGCCTAAGCATTTATAACTGAGAAAGTCACCTTCATTATTTGTCTTTCATAACTTTACCATTATTTACCTCTTCATGAAAGAGTTCCAGAATTTGGAATTTTCTCATTTTGTTTTAATTTTTGCTTTAATTATATCTAAAAATTTGGGGGAGACGGGACCTGGATTGAACTCAGGGGCCCTCTAACACTGGGCCTCTCCCCAGCCCTATTTTCTATTTTAATTAGAAACAGGGTTTCACTGAGTTGCTCAGTGCCTTGCCATTGCTGAGGCTGGCTTTACACTCACGATCCTCCTGCCTCAGCCTGCTGAGCCGCTGGGATTACAGGTGTGCACCATCATGCCTGGCTAGATCTAAAATTTTAAATCAAACGATTGCATTAGGCTGAACCAAGTCTATAGGAAAGCAAAACAAACAAACAAAACAACAACAAAGAGAAACATTCCCTACTGAAATAGACTCACCCTGAAGTTGAAGTAAGGGGATTAAAAATCACTCGCAGAATACGCAGGGTTAATTCTGCATGGGTTTCTCCTGCTCTCCTAGGAGGAAGCCCGGGCTGGTGCTGACCCACTTACCACAATGTGGGCCAGAGGCCCCACCGGGAGGGAGGTAGAAGCTTGGGAGTCTCTGCTGTCCCTGGGGTCCCTGCAGGCAGATCTGCCCATGCCAGCCACCCTCCCCACACCGAGGCCCCTTCCTGTAAGTCAGAGTCTGACTTTAAAGCCCAGAAGCGTGGGTTGCTGAAAGGCAGCCCCGCAGCGGCTGGCACTGATCTTCTGTGACTAGTGCAGCTCTTTAATTAACAGGAGACTCCTCCGTCAGCTCAAGGTAGAAACAAAAGCTTGGATTTGTACAGCGCTGACTTGGGCACCTCTTCCAAGTGAGAAACACCCGAAGAAGCCAGCGTGAGGAACTTCAAAATCACTGCACTAAATACCGTTGAAGGTTCACCATGGTAAGAGGGCGTCCCAGGGCACAGGATGAACTGGGGAGGAGCAGGCAGAGGCAGGGGAGCCTGGCAAGTACCAGCTTGGTGTAGCAGAAGGACCAGAGACACTCCGGGCCAAGTCCTGGGTGTGGGTCAAGCCTCCTGGCAGGTGCAGGGGCTGGAGGGCACAGTGGCTAGACAGCCAGGAGGCAGGGGCAGCCCGGCTAGTCACCAGTGCTGCGTCAGCTGTCTTAGCCAGCTAGGAATGTGACCTTCTCATATCTAAAACTGTCTGGGAGGCAAGCTCAAGGGCAAGCTCTGAGCTGGACTCCTCCTAAGACCCATCCGTCCAGTGTTCCCCTAGTCATGTGGGGGGAGGATTTCAACTGATTCCATTAATTCATTCAACTCTATGGAATAAATTAAGTAAGCCTAAAACTCCTATGAAAACTGGAGCAAAACTCATAAAGCCCATGTGGTTCCTGAGCTTGCAACCTGGACATTCCACGCTCTGTGACTGGCCAATGAAACAAAAATCTACCTGTGAAACAATCAAAGCTGGTTTAAAATTAGGAGAGAAGGAGTACAGAAAGAACAAATTCTCAGCAGAAGTCAGAATTTTGACATTTTTATTGCTGAAGAACCCTGCCAGCCAAAATCCCCATGAATTATACAGGCTGACTATATTTAAGAAAGTTCAAAGACAGGAGAGGAATCAGTTAAATTTTTTAGATGTACAATCCAGAATTCACCGTGACCTATCTTTCAGCAGAAGCAATTCATGACTGATCATAAAGTAGCAAGAAAATTTCCCTCTCCCTCTACTTGGAATGTGCCCCAGCTCATCCACCCTCAAGACCTCTATTGAGAAGAGCACTCACTAGTGCTTCCCCTGCAGGCACGCGGGCTCCTGCTCAAAGCCCACCAGAATGCTCCTGGGGCTCACCACCGACCTGGATCAGAAGGGCTAAGGCACAAGACCCATCACTTGCTCAGCAGCACTGGCGGGAAGGGCTGAGAGAACTGATCCCGCTCCAGGGACTACAACAAAGGAGGCATTGAAGTGCCCATGGGTAGAGTTCTAGGGTTTTCTGAAAGTCCAGAGCCAAAGTGACTCTTCAGGGGAATAGGAGCTTGGGGAATTCCAGGGTCAGCAAGCTGGAGGCAATGCACCCACACAGCCTCCGAAATACTTGTTAGAAGATGGCAGTGAGCAAATCTCCTGGCCAGCGAGGAGAGCGGCTGCAGAGCTGGGACACCAGAGGCTCAGGATGAGGTCTGCTGGGGACAGAGGGAGGGAGTCTCACTGGGGCAGGAAAGAACGTCCACGTGTTGGCCAAGGCCCCAGACACCTGAGGTGGAGCCCGTGGGGTCACAGGGCGAGAGGATGCTCTCCCCAGGCCACGGTGGGGCATCGCAGAATCGGTCCTGCAGGGCTTGGGCTTGGGTTGAGTAATTCGGGAGTGGGTTCGAGGAAGCAGGGATTTCTGAAGACTGAATGCTGTCAGGACATTGGATTAACTCTCTGGGTGTTTTGAGGAGGATTATGTCTAAAGCAGGTAGACAAGAGCTGCTAAGGCTGCATGTCTCCCTTTAAAACATATAGGAAGGGGTACGGTGGCACCTGCCGATGATCCCAGCATCTTCAGAGGCTGAGACAGGAGGATCGTGAGTTCAAAGCCAGCCTCAGCAAAGGTGAGGCACTCAGCAATTCAGTCTCTAAATAAAATACAGAATATGGCTGGGGATGTGGCTGAGTGGTTGAGGGACCCTGAGTTCAATTCCTGGAACCCCCCCCCACTAAAAAAAAAATTAAAAAATTAAATAAAATATATAGGGAAACGATTTATCTATAGAGCTCCAGAGTGTGGAGAATAGATTGAACACTTTGCCATGAATGGAGTCTCAAGTGTGTCCCGGGCAAGGAGGCTGGAGCCTCTGCAGGTGGCAGGCCCAGGCCTGCATCTCCCCGGGCACCCACTCCCAGGGCCCATACAGAGTGTATGTCAGCTCTGCCAGCCCAGCCTGCCCCCTGCGACTCTATGCAGATGAAATTACACTAGCATGGAAGCGCACGTTGGATGTGCACCTGCTCTAGAACAGTCCCTTGTGCATTTTAGTTCAGTGTGTTATGTCACACTGCGAAACTCAGGATGAGTGCTCCTGTGAGAACTGCCAGCCCCTCTGCAAAGACTCGGAGTCTCCCCTTCTTAGCGACTCTCCCTGTGTTCACAGGCAGCAAGACAGACAACCCTGGGTCACAGGGACACTGAACCACTGGTGCCTCTGTGGTGTTCACAGGACCAGCCACAGAGGGTGCATCAGATGGGGCCGCTAAGCACCCAAGGTGAGGGCAGAGGGCCTCTGATCTTCAAGGAATGTTGTAATTTTCCATGGGAAAGAGTACAATGTCCTGTGAATTCTAAGAAATAAGTACATAAGCATTTCCACCCCCAGAGCAGCAAACTGGCTTTACTGTTTATTGGAAAGTAGCTGCTATCAAGTCCTATTGAGAAGGACCCCACGCTGGCACCAAAGCATCCAAGGCCAGAGGAGTCCCAGTGACCGGCTGCACACACCCACATATGTACACCTGTGTTCACGCATGCACAAGCATACCTGCACACACGTTGTGGGCTCCCTGAAAAACGGGTAAGCGTCCTTTCTTTGTTTTCATTCTCCAGTCAAATGCTCTGTTCATAGAGTGCAGATACTGGCCACTAGCTGCTCCCCTCGGACTGGAAAAGTTCACCGAGTGAACCAGCAGAGAGAGGCAGGCGCAGGGCAGCTCTTTCTTTTCTTGCCTTCTCTCAGCCATGTTACACTCAAAGTCAGGACCTGTTCCAAATTTGCTAGAAAAAGACAGAATCAAGAGCCAAATAAAAGCCTATTTAGCTTCTTTTTATTTGAAACTTCAAAGTAGGTCATTTACACAGTGAAAAGGACAAGGAAGAAAAAAGAGAAAACAGAAGAAAAAAATAAAAACTAAGGCTCCACAACCACAAAGCCTAAATCCAAACGCTTTTTTCCCTAAAGCCCATTGTCCAGTATTGTCACAAGAAAGTAAGCCATGCAATTGGTTTTTGTTGTGTTTCCTTCCCATCATTATGAAAGGCCTCTGACTGTAAGGAAAAAATGGGAAGGTTTTTTAAAAAATAGCCTAGCGCTCAAGAGGCAAGCTTGGAGACATTAACCATTCACAAGCCTGAAAACGAAATCTTTCCTTTAAAAAGCTAATGAATCAGTATTTTCTGTTGAAATCAATTTTTTTATTACATTTTCAAAGGCATCTGGATGTTCTTTTACATGCAGGAAAAGGTTGTGTGTGTTTTTACCAACTAACTCCACTTACTGGAAGACTGAATTTTCTTTTCAGCTTAAACATGGTTTTCTTGGCTGCTGAAAAGGAAGCCCACACTTCAGGGCATGTCTCCATTCTCTCTGGGCAGGGCTTCTCACACTGCAGGGTGCACACATTACCTCAGGGACCTTGGTGACTGCAGAGCGGGATCCAGTGGGGACCTGAGACGCTGCCTTCCGAGCCATGCCAGCAAGGCCCACCCAGGAACTGCAGGGACCTAGAAGGCCCCTGGGCATCCTGGAGACCAGTTAGGCACATGTGATGGACCCTGAACTTCTTTATTGTAGGTAAATTCAAGAAATGATCACCATGCTCTGCCTTTGTTTTCCAGGACACCATGACTAAGTACCACAATCTGTGGGTGGACGTCAGAAAGCTGTGCTCTCCTGGGCTGGAGGTGTTGTCTCTGGACTCAAAGGATCAAGGTGATGCTCCCTTCTAAGCCTCTGGGGAGGACTCCTTCCCTGCCTCCCTCTCCTGGTTTCTGGGTGCACATCAATCCCTGGGGTGCCTTGGCGGGCAGGTGCATGGCTCTGAGCTCTCCATGGGGACATGGCCCCTCCCTTCTGCATCTCTTCTTCTTGGTGCTTCCTGTGGTGTCCAACTCTACCTGTCCTTATAAGGACACTGGTCATTGGATCAGGGCCCACCCAACTCCATTGTGGCCTCTGTTTTACTTGATAAGATCTGCTGGGACCCTATTTCCACATATGGCCATATCCACAGGTACCACAGGTTCAACATGTCTTTGGGAGGGACACAATTCACCCCAAATGTGCACACCAAAGTTGGAGATCCTCTAAGGCGACCGTCACCACAATGCCTGCTCGTTAGCATCACCAGGGGAATTTACAAAATGGCATCCCTGCAGCCAATCGAACCCAACTCCCTGGGGATGACACCAGGCGCTGCTCTTCTCTACATTTCCAAATCAACCCAGTTCTTAGAAACTTTTAGGGCCCCCTGCATTAGACTCAAGTTTTAGAGATGTCTATGAAAATGAGCAATGGTTTAGTGAAATGTTTTTTGTTAGTATGCATTGGAAAAAAATGCCAGAGATTTATGCTGAAAATATATTGTTTAGGAAACAGAGGGTTTTGATATGGCCTGGAAGAACTTACAAGTTTCTCTTTGCTATGAGAGTAAATATGAGATCATTTTAATGAGTATAATATGAATGATAGAATGTTTGGCCCTGTATATAATCATCGCAGACATTTAGAAATACAGGTAAAAGAATAAGGAAGAAGCACATATTGAAGAAACTGGTGCTAGGGAAGCTAATCTGAATAAATTTATGATATCATAACACCTTTTCAAGACTTTCCCATGGTGATAGATTTTTAATTTTGCTCCAAAGTGACTAGAATATTGAACTGTCTTTGAATTATTCTCTCCAGATTAACCCTAATTTTCCAGAGTCATGATTCCAGAAAACTCTTGGTAATGGTTTCTAAATGTCTCCAATAGATAAATGTAATTACTTGGCAGAAAGAGAGAGACAGAGAGAGAGAGAGAGAGAGAAGGCTGGGAGAGTTAGGACGAGGTTTAATATACGCAGCCCGGAGCCCTAGAAAATGCTTTGAAAAGGGGTCAATAAGTAACACTGGTGTCGTTTTCGTTTTTTGGATTGAAGATAATTCTTTTGGTATTTGCCGGTAATTTTTATTACTGCTAAACAGTAATTTCATGAAATAGTGAATCTCCCTGTGTTTTTACAAGACGATATAAAGTAAGGAACTAAAGAAAGAGCAGCAGAGTGTGATTCAGAGGAGAGTACAGAGTGTGTTCAGGAGAACCTCAAGCAGCAGTAAGCAGAGGCACCCAGGATACCCCACGAATGTGGAATTAGACTGGCACACTCCCCAGGGTGACAGTGTAAGATGTCACAGAGCTGCGCAGGAGGAACAGGGAAGGATAAAGCAGCCAACGTGTGCTTTGTGCAGAACCAGGACATAGTCCATCGCCCAAATCAGAACCCTGAGGAGGAAGATGCTATGGATCATTATGCAGGGACACTGGCTACCAGAGGACTGTCCTCCAAACCTGAAATGGCTCCTGAGGGTCACTCCACACCCCTGCTGGTGGCTCAAAACTGCCTGTGTCATTGTCGTTTCCAAGTGACAATGGCCTTAGGCCTGAGCCTAAGCAACCCCAGTTTAAAAACTCCAGTTGGAGACCTGCAGTCTCACCAGGAACACCTAGGAGCCCTGCAGTGTGGCCCTCGGGCACACACAAGTCACCTCCCCTAACCCTGAGAAACAGAGAGGGAAGCTTCAGGCAGGCTGTCCTTGGCTGATCAGGAGGAGAGGCAGGAAATCAGGTGGGGCCCACCAGACCAGGTGCTTCACCCCCAGGGTACATGATGTCACTGAGAGACCCAGTGGCAGCTGATAAGGATTGAAAGGGGGGATCAAAAGCCCCAAAATTTGGTATAAGTAATAGAGCAAATGAACAGACATTCAGCCGGCTGACACTGTGCCCTCACATTGAGAGCCTGATGGGGACCTGGACCGACATCCCAACACTTTTCATCGTTTGCTGATCCTCTGCAACTTCCTCTCCGTTCTCCAACTCTACAGCCACATCTTGACCCTGGTGAGAGCCGCGACTTCTCCCTAGGACTCTCTCCCCCACGGGCCATCAGCTCCACCCCAGGAGAAGTCGGCCTTGGTTCCTGACCTGATCACCCACCGTGGTCCGAGTGAGGGTGCATCTGCTGGACTTAGAGCCTGAGGCTTGAGACGTTTGGACTGACACTTGAACTTAGCACGCAGAGGGAATGTCTGTCGTGAGCCTGTCAAGAGTGTGTTTGCAGTGCTCAGAATTAATTAATCTAGAATTCTTCACTGTGGATTAATTAATTGAGAATTGCTTGCTGTGCATTGACGATGTGTATTGCAGTGCCTAGCATTAAGGATTGTCGTTTTCTTGATTAAGAACCTACAGAGTGAAATTGCAGTGAGTGATTTGAGTGAATAAAGCATGGATTAGGGCAGAAGCACGTGGACGTTCTATATTTCTCCCCCTCGATGGCGAACGTCACACCTTTTGCCCATCGTGACGTCCCATCGCCGGCCCAACCCGAGCAGGCCAGCAGCCTCTGCTCAGCATCGGCTTGAACACAGCCAGTCACAGTGTCCCAGGCCACGCAGCCACAGATGACTGTCACACTAAGAAGTGACACATAGCATGTCCTCTCAGGTCTCATAGGCCCAGAGGGCCACCCAACTTCAAAGAGACTGAAATTGCAATCCTGCTTCGTTCCTGTCTAGAAGAGGAAAAGGAGACTCCGCAAAGAGACTGTCCCGACTCAACATCTCGGAGTTTGTCCTTGTGAAGATCTTTCATGATCTTTCTTTTTTTTTGACGGGGGTGGGGGGGTGGGGGGGCTCCACTACCTTTCTTCTGTCCTTCGGTAGGATTTTCTCTCTGACTCTGTCTTGCATGGTTTTTACAACTTTCGTGCTGACTGAGGCCCCTTCTAAAACTTTCTAAAAACTGCAGTTTGTTTGCAGGGACCACAGAACATGCTGCCGCTCCAGCCACACGCAGGGCCTTCTCCCTCCTGCCTGGGCTCAGTGCTCAGCATGTGACAGTGCACAGCCTTACCCAGCCTCTGCGCTCTGCACAGCCCAGAGAGCAGCCCCATTTGTCCAAACAAGGGAAACGTCTCTTTCCCTAATGGGCAAAGTGGTACCGCCCAGATATTGCTCCTTTCAAGATGCAGAACTTGAGTGGATTGTATTGAATACCCTGAGGTTGCATTTAGTGTCCCGGAGGACAGAGGCATGATTCCACCTGCTGGAGGGGCCCTAGAGTACGCGAGCACAATGTACAAGCTCTGCCAAACAGGCTTCAGGGCTGCTGTCCCCAGAAATGGCACCCCAGGCCGTCGTTTACAGGGTACCGTCCTTCTTTTTAGATATTTTGTTTCCCTGATATTCTGCAGTATGTCTGTGTTACATTTGTAATCAGGAATAGTTTGTTATTTTAGAAAGAAAAAGAACTGGAGTGATTCGTGCTGACTGAGGCCCCTTCTAGCAGCTGCTCAGAGCTGTGCAGTGGCTGCAGGCTGCTCTCCAAACAGCAGTGAGCCCCTGGTGTTAGCAACCTGGTCTTCAGGGGCAGAGTCGGGCACAGTGGGACAGCAGTGGGACAGGGTTCCCATTCCCACAGCGAATCTCCATGGAATAAACTGACGTGTCTGTGCGACTCTGCATACAGACTCTTTTCTCAGTGGTTCCCCAAATCAGTCAATGCTGACCTCATCTTATGCTCTTCCATGAAAAATACCTTTGAGTTTGCAAGACATTCTGAGTACACTAAGAAAACACTGAATTGTGCACTTTGAAGTGGTGGAATTTTATGTTATCTGAGTTTTATCTCAAAGGAAAATAAAAAGGATGAGGTGGTCTGTGTACCTCACTGCACGGGATTTAATCTGGCCTGTGGGACTCTACTGGGAACAGAACTGACGGAGGCAATTTGAGAAGCACTTTTTATACTGGGTTCTCAGCCGGAATGAGTGGGACAAAATGCAAGTCAGACACAGGCTGTGTCCTGGAGCTGCTCCTGCCACGCTGGAGGACGTGCCTCACTAGAGACTCCAGCCTGGAGACAGCGAGGGGTCGAGACGGCCCTGTGGGAGCACTAGAGGAGGAAGATGGGAAGCTCTTGCAGAAGAGGAGACCTGGGTTTTTGAGCAGGAGCAGGAGCAGGCACACGGGACGGTGGGGAAGGGCCTTCTAGACAGCCAGAGCATTTGGAAGACCATCACATGACTAGGTGGCCTATTTGAACTACGGGCTCCCTCTCCTAACACTCTGCCAGTGATTTCTATTAACATCATGACTGTTAAAAAATCCCTTTTAAATCTTAATCAAAATCCTATTTCTCACGGGTAGCCTGTGGTGTGGGAATACATGTTGAAGTTTGCCATTGGCGCAAAGTGTATAATTTGAGACCTAAGTAACGCCCCCATGACCCTGGTAACGTAAGGTGCTAAGGCATCATAGGTACCTTGCCAACACAAAGAGCCCGGCAGGACCTTGATTCTTCAGACACAGGCTTGCTATTACTTAAAGAACAAAAATAAAATGTGGACGGAGGATGTAGATGTCCTGCTGGAAGGGAATATTGGCAGTTTTATATTTGCCTCCAGGGAGAAGGAAATCCAGGGCATAGGATCCAAATCTCCTGTTCCTACTATACTCCTTTGCCGCAGTCTGGCTGGGCACAAATCACGAGCCAGTGAAGCAGGAACAAACTTTATTCCCCGAACTCCTGCAAACGCCACGCACGCGGCCTTCTCCTGGGACACACCACACCAACCAGAAATCCCTCCTCTGGAAATCCCTCCTCCCGCACTTCCCCAACCAATGGGAACTCTCCGGGAATCCCCACGAGAGCTCCAAAATAGCAGGCCCAGGCGGACAGCAGGGGTCTAATCTCCAATTGAATGCACATCTTAACATATCATCTCAATGGCTTGCTGTAGTCACCTCTCAACCAAAAATGCCATGCGTCATTCCAACTGGGCTATGGCTCTCAGCACTCCTTCTTCTGCCTCTGACCCTTGGCCAACCTGCTGAGTTCTGGCAGTGTCCAGCCCGGTTTCAAATAATCATTCTGTCACAAAGATGAGGACACTTTCCAAAGCAAAAAGATTTTTAAAAATAGCTAAATAAGGTTCCATGAGAAGGAAAATTACTTCTTCATATTTAGTGTAAACTTTTTAAAAAATTTACTTTGTTAATTTAAATTTAGCTCAGATGTAGCATTTCTGATCTAATTCCTAGGACTTTGATCCACTTTGAATTGACTTATTTTTTATACCTTTATTTTATTTATCTTATGTGGTGCTGAGGATCAAATCAGGGCTCACACGTGCCAGATGAGCGCTCTACCACTGAGCCCCAGCCCTAGACCTGAATTGACTTTTGTGCAGGTTGAGACTTAGGGGTTAAAGTTCATTCTACTACCTATGGATTTCCAGTTTTCCTAGCACCATTAGTCAAAAAGGCTACCTTTTCTACAATGTGTGTTTTTGTCACCTTTGTCCAATAGGAGTTAGTGGTCTGTATGTGGGTCTGTCTCTGTGTCTTGTGTTCTACTCCATTGGTTTCCGGGCCTGTTTGGGGCTGGTGCCATGCCACCTCTGTTCCTATAGCTTTGCTTTTCTGGTTAAGGGTTGCTTTAGCTATTCTGCATCTCTTATTTTTCCAAATGAATTTCAGAACTCCTTTTTCTAGGAGGAGCTCAAATTGAATCTGTATAGCACTTTTGGTAGTATGGCCCAGGATCTGACTTCATTAACAAGACTCCTAAAGTGCAAGAATTAAAATAGAAAGTCAGTAAATGGAATGGCATCAAATTAAAAAGCTTGAGCACAGCAAAGAAAACAATCAACAGCATGAAGAGAGAGCCCATGTAATGGGAGAAGACGCTGGCCACCTGTTCCTCAGACAGGGCATTCCTGTCCAGGGTACACAAAGAACTCAGAAGACTTGACACCCGCTAAATAAATAAATAAATAAATAGCCAAACAATAAATGGAGAAAAGAACTAAACAGATACTTATCAAAAGAAGAAATATATATGGTCAAAAATATATTAAAAAATGTTCAACATCTCTAGCAATTAGGGAAATGAAAATCAAAACTTCACTGAGATTTCATCTCTGGTCAGAATGGCAATTATCAGGAATAAAAACAAATGTTGGTGAGGATGTGGGCAAAGAATACACTCATACATTGGTGGTGGGACTGAAAATTAGGAAAGCAGTATGGAGAGTCCTTAAAAACATAGAAAAGAATTCACCATTTAACCCAGTTATCCCATTCCTTAGCATATATCCAGAAGTTTTAAAATCAGTACACTACAGTGACAAGCCACATCAATGTCATAGCAACACAATTCACCACAGTCAAGCTTTGGAAACAATCTAGGTGTCCTTCAACAGATGAATGGATAAAGAAAATGTGGTACATATATACGATGGAATATTACTCAGACATAAAAAAGAGTGAAATTATGGCATTTGCTGGTAAATGGATGGAGCTAGAGAACATCATGCTGAGTGAAATAAGGCAGACCCTGAAGGTCAAGGGTTGAATGTTTTCTCTGGTATGGGCTGGGGGCAGGATTAAAACATAAGAGAGAGAGAAAGGGAAAAAAGAGAGGAATTTCATCAAAATAGAGGAAAGAGTAATAGAGTAGACAAAGTGGTTGAGGGGGAGGAAGAAGGGACAGAAAAGGGAAGAACAAGAGTGACTCTGACCAAACTTGTCTGTGTGCCTAGATGTGGCACCAGGGTTCGCAGCAGTGGGGTACCCACAGGACACTCTTTGTTTTTTAAATTATAAACTGTAAGTGGATTGGGATGGAGTGGAGGGCAGGGTGGGGTGGGGATGAAGCTGGGGACTAAATTGGAGTGGGCCAGTTCCACACCTTGGTGATGACATCAAGGTGTGTCCTGGTGTTGTGCCCAACTAAAAGGAATAAAGGACAAATCATGTAAGGAGAGTCTGCCCCATTACAATCTTGCCCCTAATAACAGGGCAGTAGGCATAATTAACACTATGATGTTAATTATGATGCTCTAATAAAATCATTTTTAAAAGAGAAAAATAAATCAGAGTGCAAAAAATGTTTAATTAATGATGCTGGAGAAGAGCTTCCTAAGACCTCATTATTAGCATTTTCTTTATTTATTAATTTTAAGTATGTTTTTCAATTATTCTCACTACATCTGGAAGGTGCGTGTGTGTGTGTGTGTGTGTGTGTGTGTGTGTGGTATGTATGTATATCACAAATGGAAATATATATGACTTATGCATTTCATGAATATGGTATCATTTAAAATAATTAGCACTATTTGAAGGCTTACTCTGTGCCAAGATCAATCCTCAAAATATATTCTATATTAACAAATGGAATCCTAAGTAGCAACTAAATTATTTTTACATCCTTTAATTTACTGTACTTTTGGAAAATACCTATTTAGATTTTTATCTACATAAAAATCAAAGTGCAAATAAATCCAATTAATGGTGATGGGGAAGAACTTCCTGTAAGCTCACCATTAGTCTCATCTGAACCCAAAGAAGAACCATAAGTTATTGCTTATAACTGAATAACAAACTTGTTATAAGGCTAAAGGGGTAAAGTCATTGAATCGCAGACTTTGCTTTGGCCCTGCTGATAAATTACACCTTTATTGGGTAAACCCTAGGATAGAATTCAATTTATAATTATTCCTTAAAAATAAAACTTTAGGGGCTGGGGATATGGCTCAAGTAGTACCACGCTGGCCTGGCATGTGTGAGGCACTGGGTTCAATCCTTAGCACCACATAAAAATA